CGGCGAGTCTGCTCCGCAGACCTCGCCGTTGAATTGGAATCCTCATCGTGAAGAGAAAGGAGTGGCCTCTTCCACGACCTTTCCTCCCCCGGTGTCAGTCCTGCCTTCATGCACTTCTTATTTTTCTGTCCGGCCGGCAAGATAACTTTCCGCTGCGACGTCGCCTCTCCTCCCACTATGCCAGTAGCAACCTGAATCGGATTATTGAACAGTTGCACCTCATCGTTTGATATGGTAAGTTTGGTATTGTGTTGGGAATTACCGCCTTGGCCGTCCCCTGCACTTCTTCTGTGACCAAATTCAAAGATATTCAATCCGCGAGCTAAAGGATGGTGATGATCAGCCCTGTTCTGCCCATTTAGAGAAATGGGTTGTAGCGGAAAACATGGGGATGAATCATCCCAAGGCTGGAACTTTCATCCATATGCCATACGGCAGCTCTTCACCAGGATCTACGAACCCTTCCTCATACCGAAGTGGACATTTATTTTCGCTATGGCCCAAAACGCTACAAAGGAAGCAGAAGGCTGGAAGACGCTCGTATTTGATTTCCACGTTTCAACCGCTCAAGAACGTCTATCGAAACCCTAATTCGCATGAAATCCGACTGACGAAGTTGTTTCTCGTTCCCTAGCAGTAAGAACCTACCCACTTTATTTGCCACCTGTTGATCCAATGCCAACGACCTCTGATTTACCGGGACACGATACAAACGAATCACAATAAGCATTTGATTAACCTCTACCTCCTTAGCAGTCTCCCCTGGCAGGAGATCCCAAAATATTAGGGCATGACGATCCAGAACCCACGGGCAACCTTCCAACGCATGCTTCTTGTCGAGGGAGTGGTCAAACCTCATAATGAATTTGTTGCTGCCAATCGAATGAATATCACACCCCTTAACCGGAGACAATTGGCGGAGGAGATTTTGTTTGATGGAATAAAAGGAAATCTCGCGAGATGACACCACTCGTCCCACTATGCAAAGTTGTGTATTAGTAACCGTACCCATACCATCGGTTTGATGTACCACTACTCCCTCTTCTTCCTCCTCCGTTAGTGTGATTTTCAGGGCTATTGATTCCGCAAGGATGTCCATCGGAGAGAGAGAGATAAGGATATCAGATCTACTGGAGCGCAAGGAGCATAGACGATTAGGGTTTGAGATCTGAGAGAGATGGTGATGAGCGGGAAAAGATAATTAGGTTTAGAGATAGGGGACAACTATTTTGAATACTAGTTTTTGCTTAGTTGAATACCAAAAAAATAAAAAATAAATAATTAATTGTAAATTACTTTAATACCCTTAATGAAAATTAAAACCAAAAAATATTACAAATACTATTTTTCTTTCTTAAAAACCAAATAATCAAAAACCTAAAAAAAACATTTCCCTCCTCACTCACAAACCCCTCACCTCCTCCACCTCCTTCTTCTCCCTCCCCAAAAACCCTCCTTAAAAACCCCAAAACAAAAGAAATCAAAACCTTACACAACTTGCAAAATGGCCTCAAATGACAATAGAATGGTAGTTTACGAGCAAGGAGAACCCATTCAGGTATGTATTCATGTATTTTTTGAGCTAAAACATCGATTTTGAATTTTTTTTTTTTTAAAACTCGCCATGTATTTTCGACACTTAAGTGTCGAAAATATGGGTAATTTTCGACACTTAGTGTTGATTTTGTTCCTGTTGCAAATTTACTTGTCTTATATTTTCGACACTTTTGTGTAGATCGATTGCACCCATTCATTTACCACGTCAGAAAAATTCCCAACAAAAGAAGCTTTAATGGCATGGGTTCGTGAAGTATGTAAAAGAATTGGAATGGTGTTAATGATTGGGGGTTCGAGTGACGGGGATAGAGGACGTAGGACACCGTATGTGATTGTTCGTTGTGAGCGTGGGGGCCATTATGTTGGCAAGAAGGTACCAGGTGAAGATGATCAAAGACCGGGAAAAAGGAGCACCGGTTCAAAGAATTGCAATTGTCCGTTTAAATTGAAGGGGACAAGAGAACACAAGGATGATGAAAAGGCTGAGTGGAAATTGGATGTTAGTTGTGGTATTCACAACCACAACTTATTCGAAAACTTGCACGGACACTCTTATGCCGGAAGATTATCAAAGGAGGATGTTTCCTTTGTTCACACTATGAAGAAAGCAATGGTGAAACCAAGGGCAATTCTAAGAGCATTGAAGCAAAAGGACCCGTCTAATGTAACTGGTATGAAGACAGTTTACAAATCCATATAAAACTAAATTAAAAAACAAGTAAAACAACCAAAATCCATATAAAACTAAATTAAAAAACAAGTAAAACAAATAAAATCCATCAAACAACATCCATCTAAAAAAATACAAGACTAATCCTGTGTTTTTTTCTTCCTACTAAACACGCGTTTCACAACCGCCTGTGGGGCATCGGACGAGCTCGATGGCGGTGGAATTGGCCCTATCGAGCTACCTGGAGGTGGTGGTGGGGCATCCGATGACCTCGAAGGAGGTGGAAGTGGGGCATCCGGCTCGATCAATCTGACAATATCATTTAGGGTCCCCCACATGACCGTATGAGCGTCGGATGGCGCAAGTCCCCGCACCTCGCTAAGTGTACCCTTCACCAACTCCAAAATTTGTGAAAGTTGGACCTCCTTATCGGTACCACCCTCTGGACGAGCTTCATGGGGTCGAGGTCGATCCGCCTGGGGTCGAGGTGGATGGGCTCCATGCCTACTCAGTTGTAACATGCATCTGGGTCGGAACCAATTCATGTAGTCCGGCGAAGTGTCCGCCTCCCCGAGTTCAATTTCAACGGACCTCGACTCCTCGTCCAGACAATACTCCTCCCACCGATCAGAGAATCGTTCGCCGTACGCAACGAAAATTGAGTTCTGGACCGGTCGACCTTTGCTAGCTAGAGCTTTGTACATATCTTTTGACATGTATGCACGACCTGGAATGATTTGCACCCGGTTGAACTGCCTCAACACTCTGTCCGGATGATATGCCTCGAAGTGGTCCATGCAACATATCATCCCACTAAACCAAGCAGAATCTGGCATCGGGAAACGATCACGAATAGCCGTATACGGTGACCATAAAACCTAGTAAAATAAATAAAAAATTAGATGTAAAAACCTACTTAAGTAGTAATAACAAATTATTAAACTGGTATGTTACCTGATCGGGGATCAAATCATCTAATCGAGATCGCAGGTACGACGCTCGTTCAGGTGTTGAAGTAGTCTTTGACTGAGGCTCCCATCGGCTCGCTAATGGCCCCTCGAATTCCGTCTTCAATGTGCCACCCCCCAAATAAGGAAAGTGCTCGTAAATCCATGACTGAAAGAGCGTCAGCCAGCCAGCCATCGAGTTCGTTGATTTTTGTGAGGCTGAGGAAAGCTCATCGTACAACCGGCAAAGACATGCAGTGCCCCAAGCATACTCGCCGATCCGATCCAAATCAGATACAAGATTTAGGTACTCAACGCTTACCATGTTGCCTGTCTTGTCGCACAGTATAGTACACCCGAGCAAAAATAACAAATACGCCCGAATGGCGTATGTCCTCTTCTCTGCACTATCTCTCATGGTCACTTTGCTAAATTTAGCCTTCAACCATTCCAACTTGACCGCTTTCTTCTTGTTTACATCGTCCGGGTACTCACCTAGCAACTCGAACATCAAAGAACTGGGAATGGTTTTGGAATCACGGACCAAACGCTCGCAAGATACGGTACGCCCAACAACTGGCAAACCGACCAACGTACTCACATCGTCAAGTGTGATGGTCATCTCTCCAACAGGTAAGTGAAATGTGTTGGTAGCTGGTTGCCATCTCTCTACGAAGGCTCTAAGTAGATGGCCGTCCACAGTGTTGTACGATGCCTGTACAACTGACATTAAACCACATCTTTGTACTACCTCTGTAATAAATGGCGCCGGCTCCCAACCTTTCAAGGTTCCTGTGTGATTTCGTATTCGAAATTCTGAGCCGCGCTCCGAACGATCTGGCCCTCCGTTCACAATATGATAAGCAATGTGCTTATCAAATTTTGTGTACAATTCCGGTATCTCGGGACCTAGGACCGGTTCGTTGCTCGAATCACCAACTTCTACAGTCGAAGGTAGAGCCGGCACCAGATTCGTTGACGAAGAACCCTCTCTAGACTTCTTCTTGGTCGTGGTCTTTTTCTTGGTCGTGACTGCTATGCCCTTGCCTCTATCGGATAATTCCTTCCTCTTCTTACGGTTCGAGACAGTCGGAGGTATACGAGGTTCACGTGGTTCTTCCACTGCAAAATAACACACAAATAAAAATTAATATACATAATATGAACACAAGCAAATAAAAAAAAAAAAAAAAAAATAACACACAAATAAAAATATTCACAGTTCAAATTCGACAGCTACCTGTCGAAAATGGGTTGCATTTTCGACAGGTACCTGTCGAAAATTCAACCCATTTTCGACAAGTTGCTGTCGAAAATGCAACCCATTTTCGACAGGTAGCTGTCGAAAATTACCAAAATCCAAATTCAACACTTTCACCATTTTCGACATCTACATGTCGATTTTGGATGAATTTTCGACATCAACCTGTCGAAAATTCATCGAAAATCGACATATACAGGTCGAAAATGGTGAACGAAGAACCGACCCACGACTCTCAAATCAATGCTCAAATCGACTGAAATCAGATGCACCCATTACTAATTAACGATCATTCTAACCTAAAACAACCAAATCCTAATTACCCATATCAAACAATCAAATCTTAAATAAATATTAAAGAAAAAAAAAATCGAAACAACTATAACTTACTATTCGAAGACGACGACGGCGGCGGCTTTGGGCGACGTTGGGCGGCGTTCGGCGGTGTTTGGCGTCGGCGTCCGACGGCGGCGATGGTTGGAGCGGCGGCGGCGGCGTCGGGCGGCGTGGACGGAGGGAGGTGGACGGAGGGAGGTTTTTTGTGTTTGAATTTTTTTTTTCTTTTTTTTTATTTGGTTTTCAAATAGGTAATTTCAAAGAAAAATTGATGTAATTAGTATTTTGTATGAAAGGGTATTTTTGTACTTTTATTTTTATTTTGGTATTAAAGTAAGAAAAAACTTAAAAATATGTACTCAATTGTGGTTTTCAACTAGGTAGTATTCAACTAAGCAAAAATTAGTATTCAAAATAGTTGCCCCCTTAGAGATAAAGGCAAATAAATGACACAACCGTCGGTATATAAAAGCAGGAAATAAACACACAACCCTAGAAAAACTAGACCCGGATATATAACAATTAATCGAACCAAGTAAATAGTATGATCGAACGTCTCTGTTAGACTTAACTAGAAAAATCGATCGCTAAACACTGGTGAAACTAACAAATATAGTGCCTCTCATGGAGAGAGAAGTTTCAAATTATAGGGGGTAAGATACTAAGGCTCCGTTTGGTTGCCAAGATAAGCCATGATTAATTAAATAGTTGGACTTAATTTGATGTTTGGTATTCCTAATAAATTGGCGGGTCGACCCGCCAAAATTATATAATCATGGCTTATCTTGTCTTATCTTGGCTTATCTTGCCTTCTAATGAGTTTTTTTTGTTGGACGTTTCAAGCTCCAATAAAATAATTGGGTCTCATTAGATTATTTAATCTTATCATGGTTAATCTTATCTTGCCAACCAAACGGGGCCTAAGATTTAAGGGATGGGATTAGGGTGTCGGTCCTGCGGTAAAAACCAGATTGATCTAATCAAAATTAGCATATTTAAATAATAATTTTTTTTTAATCATAAATTATTTTTGGTTCCTTCCAAAAGATTTAGGAAAATCTTGGAAATTGTAATTTCTGAGATTAGATTGATGAAATTAAATGCAAAATCTAAACATTTGAGTAAAAACAATATCTCTATATAATAAAAATACAATCAACATGTAAATTTTAATATTTTAAATTCACACTACTCATTCAAAAAACATATAGGGTAAATTACACCCACACCCATGAGGTATGCGTAAATAACTTTAAGGTTCATGTAGTATCGATAATCACACTCACCCCCTTGAAACGTAGTTATAAACTCCAATGGGATAATGCAGTGGATACGTTATTACTATAGAGTTCTAACGGACTATTGGTTTCAGGAAGTGGTGGAGACAACAAAGAGTTATGGATGATTTAAGAAATATTGGGGGAGCCATGTCACCCCATAAATCCCCATAACTCTATGTTATCTCCACCACTAGATAAAAATAATAGTCCATGAGAACCCTATCGGAATAATGTATCCAATGCATTATCCCGTTAGAGTTTCTAACTACGTTTCAGGGGGTGACTGTAATTATCGATACCATAGGGACCTTAAAATTATTTAAGCATACCTCAGGGGTGTGAGCGTAGTTTACCCAAACATCTAAATTAAAGTTTTAATATTAAATAGCCTATAGGACGAATGCTAGTGTCGATTTTATTACCTATGCTAATATAAATTGCTTTTGATTTATGTGATTTTGAACAAACTTGTTGATTTTTATTGGGACAATAATAGAATTTATTTGAATCAATTTATTTTTTCTTTGCCTTAATTAAAATAAAAATCCAAACACAAGTGTTATAAAACAATCATGTTGAAAATCGCATTAATCTATATCTATACTACTTATAAAAGGAGGAATCAATTGGTGGTTTCTTCCATTTTTTTAAGAGACAAAAATACTCTTTGGCAAGTTAAAACTTTGAAGGGCAATTGAGTAATATAAACTGATTAAATATTCACTTATGACATTAAATAATTATATTATTAACCATTGACAAATATAGTATGGACAAGTTTAAAGTAATAAGGTCAATTTATGTAACAAAAAATTTAGATGCACGTACAAAAGAATTAACGAAAAAAATAATACTAACATGACATTTTAAAATTAGTTTTAATTATCTTAACATATATCCTTTTCTAAAATATAATTAAAAAAACTCTTCATTTAATTAGTTAATATCAAATTCTTCAGTTGAAATTTTTTTATCTCTCCGAATTTTGAGTATCTATGTTTACTAATAAAAAAAATAGTATATAAAATTCTTAATTTTATCTATGATTATCAGTAATTACTATAATATGTAAGATTAAAAGTTGAGTATCTATGTTTACTAATAAAAAAAATAGTATATAAAATTCTTAATTTTATCTATGATTATCAGTAATTACTATAATATGTAAGATTAAAAGTGCGAGTAATATAAATAAATAAATAATTA